CCGGGAGAGCAGACGCCAGGCAAGCCGGATGAAGCGGTCAGATCACAGGCGCCCAGGAAGGACGGGGGCGGAGGTGCGACAGCCGCGGAACAGACGGCAGCAGGAAAGGGCCGGCCGCTACGGCGCTGGCTCGCATGCACGCCCTTTCCGGCCATTGTCACTAAGACTGCCAGACCTTTCCCTGAGAGGGAGGCCCCGGACAGGAGACGAAAACCTTGAGAGACTGTCTCCTTCACCAAACCGAAGCTTGAACAGCAAATTGGAAACAATTCGCGGTGACCAGGAAACTAAAATGGCGACTGGAAACGGAGTGGGTTCTCCAGGGGAAAATGCAGTGAGCCAGGCTTGCTTCGGGCTCCGGGGGACAGAAAGCTCCCAGGTTCCAGCCCACGCCCGGACTCCGGAATGCAGGATGCCCCACCCCGCGGAGAAAGTCCCGGCGGGCTGATGCAAGAGAAAATGCTCTCTCCCTTCCAAGAGTCCGTTTCAGGAACCCCCGCTGCTCTTCCGCCTCCTCCAGCCCCACTCCAGACACAATGGGTCCCCCAAGCAGATAAACAGCCAAAGGGACGCGTGAAGGCCAAGTGGAAACTGGCGCAAGCCCACACAACTCTCGGGGCCCTGACGCGGCAGCCGTCTAGGCCTCGGACAGAGAGAACCGGGCTCCTCGCGGCCCCGACGCAGGCCTGTGGGGGCAGGGCGGCCGCGGGGCGGCCGGGCGGGACAGCCCAGGCCTCCCCTTCGTGTGTGCGGCCGACCCGCACCAGGAAAACAAAGCCCTGAGAGCTGCCAGCCAGGGCAGCTGGGACCACTAACCCCATGTGTCCCCAGAACCCCGGGCATTCCTGAGAAGTGTCTTCTAAGCTCCCCTGCAGAGCCAAAGATGAGGCCCTTGAATTGTACCACAGACTTCTGCGCACTCTCACTGCCTCTTCCCAAGTGAGCCCGCTTCGCGGGAGGCTCAGGGTGGCTGGGGCTTCCCCAGCCCAGTGAGCCTTCCCCGAACAGCACGGAAGAGAAGCATACAGACGCATCTCAGCCCTCCCGACCCCCAGGAAGAGAAGCATACAGACGCATCTCAGCCCTCCCGACCCCCACTTTAAACCGGCGGGAGAGGAGGCCCCTCCAGTTCCACTTTCTGAATCTCTTCTTGCAGGAGAAGGCTGATCTTGTACAAAAAAGCATGCAAAGCTCCAAACAGGAGGTAACATTCTTTCTCACAGTCAAGCCAGTTGGATTTTTTTTTTTTTTTTTTACTTGAAAAACTCCTTTTTCTAGGGTAGCCTGTGTTATGCTGGGTCTACATACCTTGAAAAACTCCGGACTCGCATTTATGTCTCCCTCGGGAAATCTTGATTCAGTCCTGAAAGCGACGAGAGAGCACTTCACTTTAATAAGTGCTTGACTCAGAGAACTGGCCAAAAATAAGGGGAGGTGAGGGTGGCAAGAAGGGGAAACACACTTAGAACCAGAGACACACACCAAGGCAGGGGGCTCCAGACAACCAAGCGTGGAGGCGCATATGAACACCCGCGTACGGAGAGCGGCGAGCACTCACTCATTCAGTGACTGGTAGAAGACTTGTGCGGGTTTAGACGGAGAGCGCAGAATGAGAATTGTGTGCCCAGACATTGTGGATAGAAACGACCTAACGCGGGGATGAGGGGCGCCGGTGGTACGGAGAGAGCACATGCAAAATGTTTTTAAAAACTGTTCTCCACATTCCTGGGCATTTTTTTTTCCCCCAGAGAGATGAAGATTTTTGTCCACACCAAAAGCCCCATATAAATGGTTATCGCAGCTCTACTCATAATAGCCCCCACCTGGAAGCTACCCCAGTGTCCTTCAGTAAGTGAATGCACAAACTGGTACATCCACACCGTGGATTACTGACACAACAGATCGGACTAGTGATACCCACGATAACCTGAAACAATCTCCAGAGAATTACGCTGAGTGGAAAAAGAAACCAATCCTAAATGGTTACATCCTGTGTGATTCCAGGTGTACAACATTTCTGGAATGACAAATGTTTCACCTCACAGACTGGTGGTTGCTGGGAAGGTCTGGCGGTAACAGGCAGCAGGAAGGATCCTGCTGCTATGGAAACGTTGAGTCTTGGTCAATGTCAATACTCTGGATGTGATACTGTACTCCAGTTCTGCACGATGTTACCACTGGGGAACACAGTTAAAGGGTACCGAATTATTTTACAACCACATGTGAATCAATCCAGTTATTACAATGTAAAAAAGTTTGACCAAAAACAAAACAAAAAAAACCCCACCCCAAAACTGTTCTAATTGTATTGCTGGTGGTATTAGTATCGCTATTCTGAGTTTATGTGTATAATAAAGCACAGGAGTTACTATACAATGTTCTATTTCTATGCCCCCTCATCTTTGAGTGCTGATTCTGAGTGGAAAAGATTATGACATAATATAGGAAATGTTAAGTAAAAAAAACCCTGCAATCCTGAATTGCACTATGAATTCATGGATTATTTTTTTAAAAAGATTTTATTTATTTATTTGACAGAGAGCACAAGTAGGCAGAGTGGCAGACAGAGAAGCAGGCTCTCTGCTGAGCAGGGAGCTGGACGTGGGGCTCGATCCCAGGACCCCAGGATCATGACCTGAGCTAAAGGCAGCCGCTTAACTGACTGAGCCACTCAGGTGCCCCATGAATTATTTTTACCTACTGATATGCGTAGAAAAAAGACCAACTCAGTAGCAATGAGCATTTCTGAGACATAAATTATGGTTTTGAAATATAATTTTCCACTAAAAGAAACAGGGTTTCTTAGAGACTTCTGATTGCAGGTCTTGGGGCAAGATATGTACTGAATGAGCCTGGGACAGCTTATCATGCCAGAGAGGAAGGAAAGTATCAATGATTATTAGGGTTCTACCAGAAGGACTCAGAAGCCAACTTGAACGGACTTATACCAGCTAAAGATGGGGCATCTTTAAGCTTCAAGAAGGATAATTTCATCGATGGTTAGCGTTGGGAAGTGGAAAGTGAAAGGTTTCTGTAGGACTCTCAATGGTGAGAGAAATCTTGAACTTTGATGGACAGGTTTTTGTTTTTTTTTTAATGGTTTTTTGGGTATGGGTCACGCTTAGGAAAGTCAGTTTAAATAATGGGAAAGACTCAAGCTTTTATCCTACCTTTCCTGCATGAATTCTACCACTAGACCAAGGAAAGTATTTAAGTATTCCAACTGAAAAATGAAAATATATCCAGAGGTAAGTACCATAGGACCCTCCATACACAACTAATCCTAACAGTGCCAAACACTTGGTGGTAACAATGTGTCCTCCACCCATCTGATACACTCTATTTCATCCACTGAAGATGACATGAGCTGGAAGGCCCATCATCACTCCAAGTACCTCCAAGAAAACACAACCCTGAGGTGCCATCAACTGAGGATGCATTCCACCTTCAGTTGATGTTCAAGTGAGACAAGTGTCCTTTAATTAGTCAATACTCATTTCTATTTCCTGACAATTTTACTGCTCGCTTCTCAGATGTAGAGGGCAGTATTTATTATCACCCATCCTAATCATTGAAAATTAAAGTAAAATAGCACACTATAGCAATAAAAATAAATGTGCACAATCCTCAAAATACAGTGTATAGGATTTTTTTTAAACCCCTATTTACCATGATAGGATGGACAGTCCTGATCCTCTATGGCCTGTAGCTTCCTCCAGTGAACATGTCTTGTTGGGATTTTCTGATCGCACTTGCTGCCATCAGCCCGACGACCCCACAGAAGCCAGTCTTCTGCTGTGGCTTTTCTTCCACTGCCCATCATCTTCCCCTTTCAGGTTGCAGTGGATCCTCAGCAAGTGCAGTAAGGAGAGCAAGTACCCCCAAACCCAAGTTGCATAGTCAGGGATCTGTGAGCCTCTGGAACTATGTGCAAAATAGTCCATGCATATGTACTTTTTTATGGGATTCTGGAATTGCTGGTTATTTTCCTTTTGAGTGTGTCTTGCCTGCCATCTGGCTGGCTTTGTCGAGTAGGCTGTTGTCAATCGTGGTTATTTTCCAAGATGCTTTTTCTTAATGAAACATTTTGGTGAGAGGATCATCTGTTGAGACGTGATTCCAATCTTATGGAAGGCAAGAAAGGGCAAGGGCACACGAAGATAAATGGCCTTGGGTGCATGAGAGAGGAAAGGGTGAGAGATGGCAAGGTCTGTTTCTGGGGTTACAGAAATCTCCAATGCCAGTCAACTGTGGAGCCCAGGACTGACATCGATCGCATTAGGCATGGGCCTCTGTGGAACAGCTTACTGAAAACCCGTAATACTAGCATCCCATGCTGCTCTGTGTAAGAAAACATGCAAATGGTCTGGAGTCAATGTACCCAGATAAAAAAGGGACAAGTATAACATGCATATCTAACCTGTGATCCTATGCTGATATTGCTGAATGGGCTCATGGGCCAAATCTGGCCTGTCATCTGTTTTTTGTATGATCTCTATACAACAGATTTTATATTTTAAGTTTTTTTTTTTAATTAGAATATTATACAGCATGTCAAGATTACATAAAATTCCTGTGTCCATAAAGTTTTACTAGAACACAGTCATGCCCCTTCCTTCACCTATCATCAATGGCTGCCTCTGTATTCCACGATAAGCAGCTTCCACAGAGTCTAGCCCACAAAGCCTAAAATATTTGCCGTCTGTGGCCCTTTACAGAAGAAGTTTGCCAACGCCTTCCTCAGAACTCAGGTTTAGCAAATTCTCTGTTAACTTTTTCATAAATAAAAGATAAAATCTGGATGCGTAGCTGCAAAACATCTCGTATTTATTATTCTGTTTGCTGTAGTTTTCAAAGCTGGTGCACCACACACACACGCAAGAACACAAAACAGGAACCCGGATGGATGATCTAATGTTTCCCATTTGCTATCTCTGGCTTTGCAGTTTCCCTACATGGCATGCACGCAGGACAGAAAAGACAACAATTACCCGCCGTGCTAGATTTAAAAGCATTTAATGACATAGCATATATTTAACAGGGCAGAAGTTGAGAGGTACAGGTCATACGACTGAGCGCCAGGCCTGAGCGACCACCTCCCTGCTCAGGCCCAGCCTCTGGAGTTCATTCCTATCGATGCCATTTTGATTGTGCAGTAAGATGAAAATTTGTCATTACAATCGTTACAGTGACAAAGAAATGCACACTATGTATCAAATAGCAAGGTAATGAAGCAAATTATAACAGTGTGGCAACGCACGAGCAAGTAACCATTAGAGTAACATTACTTTGTCCAGTAAATGCTTCAGTTCCACTTGTAACACTTACCAATGATTTAAAGGGTTTTATTATACATCTAGTTTTATTATACTTTGTACTAGAATTATCTCAAACATACAATATAATGTATTTCGGCAAAAAAAAAAAAATTGAAATTACAGATTATTTAAAACAGTATCCATTTTCTATTCCTTCTCGTATACCGGTATACCGACATTCTGAACTGTCCTTGCAGGTGATGCAGAAAAGCTGCATGTCAGGTGTTAGTAAGTGATGCCAGATACAAACAGTTTGGTCTGTAGATTCAACATGGAGCTGCACTGTGGTGGCAGCGAGATCATAATACACGATCTGTTTAATCAAGGTTAGACCCGTCATGGGCACTTCTAATAGTTGAGACTCAAGGTAACCACTGGAAATAAATGGAAGAGAATGGTGTCAGGAAATTGGTACATTTTGTCTCTAGTGAGCACAGGAAATATTGTTTAAGCACCGCTGCCTTGCATACCAACAGCACTAGAGGCGGGTTATTTCCAACGCAGCCTCACAAAATTGAGGAACAGTTTAAATATTGAGATCTAATCTATATAATTTCATTAAAAAAAATCTGGTCTTCCCTCTGCACCTCAAACTTTTGTAACTTGGAGATAAAGTATTTAGGTGTATTTCCCCCACCCCCCCAGAAATGCTCTATAAATTAAAAAAAAAATCAACCACATTGAAGAACATTAGGCACAGAGAATAATGTGTTGGTTCTGAGCTTGCATGCTGGAGTTTCACTGAAAAGGTAAGAGAAGGGCAGGAGGTGAAGGAAAGGAGTTCATTTCTTTTTGCCAAAAATGCTGAACCGCTTCTCCTTGTCTTTCTCTTTGTCTTTCTCCCGCTTGCCAGGGCTAGACTCGCTGGTGATGGTGACGACGCTGGTGGGCAAGGTCTGTGCCCGGCTAGATGCTGGAGTGCTCTGCGTGCTGGCGGACACCTCATGTTTATCGGAGGAGATGGCAGAGGAGATGGCCTGGATCCATGTGTTCATTTCCTCCTGGACAAAGGACCACAGGTGAGACTCAGCCAAGAGGGATGGGCTCAAAACACCTTCACTTCACCTGCCCAAACATGTGCCTCCGTTGGGTCGGAAGGCTTGGGAAAAGTGCATCTAGCCCACGGGAGCATCTGGCTGAGAGGCAAGCAGTTCCCAAATGACCCTTAGCAGAGTGAACATGGTTCAACTCTCACAAGAATTTGGTTTATAAGACCTGAAAGTCACCCATCTAGTATGTGGTCCTACAAACTTGGAAGAATGAGAAGACTGGTTTCCATTGGTGGGATGCACCCTTTTCTTAAAAAATTGAAGTATATTTGACATATAACCCTGCATGAATTTAGTAGAAGTTGGTTTTTCAAATCTAAAGCACTACACACATTGCTGTCTCATCAGAAGACCCTCTCTCCCTGCAAGAAGTACAACCATGAAATGGTTGCTTGAAGACAGTGGAGTGCCGCAGGGAGGCCCCTGACTGGACTTCAGGATCCACATCCTGTCCCAGGACCACCCCACTGTGCCTCATCCACTGTGAGGGGTGCGCAAGTTTTCCTCCATCAACTTCAGGGTCCTTGCACTAGCCCTCCTAACACAGCAGGGAGACAGTAAGATGCCATTCTGCCTCTTAGCGATATAAGGAGAACTGAACGCCTTCCAGTTGTTACTGACTGAGGAGACCAGATACGAGAAGCCATGACTAATGATTACTTATATATGAAACACTGTAAATAAAGCTTATTGTGCCAATAAATATTTGCAAAAGCCCAAGTATTGAGAGAAATGAATCTTAAAAACTTACATCATCTTTGGCTTGGAAGAGGTACTCATTGCCATCATTTAGTCTGTAAGTTGAAGGAAGAAAGTCAGTCACAATTTGACTTAGGAAGAAACAAAACCCTCAAATTCCCAAAACCTATGAGGGACGTAAGCAGGCCAGGGGAATCCTACCAGAAATGCCCATCAGAGCTCTGCATACATCACCAGCTTTGCCCAGGACCCACAAAGGCCCAATATATATTCTTGGGCCAGTATAATATACACAAAAACTTAATGTTTCAATCTACTGGAAGGATCAAAATGTCCCAAACATATCAACATCTGGCTTTACTGTGGCAAAGGCCACTTGAATGTCTAATCAATGCTCTAAACTGAATTCAAGATATAATGCTTTAAAAATGATGAGTCCTGGGGTGCCTGGGTGGATTAGTTGGTTAAGCATCTGCCTTTGGCGCAGGTCATGATCCCAGGGTTGTGGGATCAACCCCCATGTCGGACTTCCTGCTCAGCAGAAGTCTGTTTTTCCCTCTCCTGCTCCCCCTGCTTGTATGCTGTCAAATAAACAAATAAAATCTTTAAAAAAAAATGATGAGTCTTCAGGTCCTTATCCCAGGGTCCTGGATCAGCAGGGAGTCTGCTTGTCCCTCTCCCTCTGCCCCTCCTCCCCCTCCCGCGCTGTGCTCTCTCAAATAAAATCTTTAAAAAAATAAAACATTAAAAATAAAAATTATGAGTCTTTTCACTACATAATCATTAAGGGAACAATCTGACATGAAGATGTAACAACTGTAAATACTTATGCACCCACATGGCAGCGCCCAAATACATAAAGCAGTATATAAAGGAAGTAATCAACAGTAATACAGTAATAGATCATCCAAACAAAAAATCAACAAGGAAACTGGTTTTGATGACACATTAGACCAGATGGATCTAACAGATATATTCAGAACATTCCATCCTGAAACAATGGAATGCACATTCTTTTCAAGTGCACATGAAACACTCTCCAGGAAAGATCATATATTAGGCCACAAAACAAGTCTCAACAAATTAAAAAAGATCAAAGTCGTATCATGCATGATTTCTGACTACAATGCTATGAAACTAGAAATCAACCTAAGAAAAAATCTAGAAAGAACACAAATACATGGAGATTAAATAACATGCTACTAAACAATGAATGGGTCAAACAAGAAATCAAAGAGGAAATCAAAACATCCAGGAAGACAAATGAAAATGAAAAAACAAAGTCTAAAAACTATGAGACACTGAGAGGGAAGTTTATAGCAATACAGGACTACCTCAAAAAGCAAGAAAAATCTCAAATAAACAACCTAACCTTACACCTAAAAGACTGAGAAAAAGAACAAACAAAACCCTACACCAGGAGAAGGAAGGAAAAAAAGATTAAAGAAGAAAAAAAAGAAAAAATAAATAAAGAAATAATGTAACAGATCAATGAAACCAGAAGCTGGTTTCTCATAAAGATCAACAAAATTGATAAACCTTTAGCCAGATTCTTAAAAAAAAAAAAAACCTCAATTAACAAAATCAGAAATGAAAGATGAGAAATAACTGATGCCACAGAAAAAGGATTTTAAGAGAATATTATGAAAACTTACATGCCAACAAATTGGACAAGCTAGAAGAAATGGACAAATTCCTAGAAGCATATAACCTTCTAAAACTGAATCAGAAGAAATAGAAAATTTGAACAGACTGATTACCAGCAAAGAAATTGAGTCAGTAATCAAAAAACTCCCAAAAACAGAAGGCCAGGACCAGGTGACTTCACAGGTAAATTTGACCAACACTTAAAGAAGAGTTAATACTTCTTCTTCTCAAACTATTCCCAAAAATAAAAGAGGAAGGAAAGCTTCCAAATTCATCCTGTGAAGCCAGCATGATCCTGATACCAAAACCAGATCAAGACACTACAAAAAAAGAGAACTCAAGACAACACCTCTGATGAACACAGATGCAAAAAAACTCAACAAAATATTAGCAAACCAAATCTACAATATATTATAAAAACCACCATGACCAAGTGAGATTTACTCCTGGGATGCAAGGGTTCAATATTCAAATCAATCAACGTGATACATCATATCAACAAGAGAAAGGACAAAAACTTTATGATCATTTCAACAGATGAGAAAAAACATTTGAAAAAGTACAGCCATCTGTCATGATAAAATCCCTCAATAAAATAGGTTTCGGGGCCCCAGCTGGCTCAGTCAGTGGAGTGTGTAACTCCTCAAATCAGGGTCATGAGTTCAAGCCCCTACTGGGGCCTACTTAAAAAAAGAACACAACAAACAAACAAAAGTAGGTTTAGAGGGAACATACATCAACACAATAAAGGCCATCTATGAAAACCCCACAGTTAACATCATCCTCAATGGGGAAAAACAGAGCTTTTTCCCCTACGGTCAGGAACAAGACGAGGATGTCTGCTCTTACTACAGCTATTCAACACAGAACTAGAAGTCCTAGCTATAGCAATCAGATAACAAAAAGAAATAAAAGACATCCAAATTGATAAGGAATAAGTAAAACGGTCACTATCTGCAGATGACATGATGCTACATATATAGAAAACAATAAGGTCTCCACCAAATACTTACTAGAGCTGATAAATGAGTTCACTAAGGTTCAAGATACAAAAACCAATATAAAGAAATATGTTGCATTTCTATACAGGAATAATGAAGCAGCAGAAAGAGAAATTAAGAAAACAGTCCCAGGACGCCTGATTGGCTGTCGGAAGAGCATGGGACTGTTGATCTTGGGGCCGTGGGTTCAAACCCCATGTTGGGGGTAGAGATTACTTAAAAATAAAATCTTAAAAAAAGAAGTCCCATTTACAATTACACCAAAAATAATAAAATAGCTAGAAATAAATTTAACCAAGGAGGTTAAAAGACTCTGAAAACTACAAAAGGCTGATGAAAGAAACTAAAGATGACACAAACAAATGGAAAGATATTCCATGCTGATGGACTGGGGAAACAAATACTGTTAATGTCCATATAATGCAATCCCTATCAAAATACCAACAGCATTTTTCAAAGAACTAGAACAAATAATCCCAAAATTTGTATGGAACGACAAAAGACCCTTAACAGCCAAGCAATCTTGAAAAAGAACAAGACAATGGGAGGTATCACAATTCCAGACTTCAAGTAATATTATAGAGCTGTAGTAATCAAAATAGTATGGTACGGGCACAAAAAGACTCACAGATCAATGGAATAGAACAGAAAACCCAGAAATAAATCCACAATTATATGGTCATTAAACTTTGATAAGGGAGGCAAGAATATGCAATGGGTTTGGAAAAAGTCTCTTCAAAAATGCTGTTGGGAAAACTGGACAACAATGTGCAAAAGAATGAAACTGGACCACTTTCGCACACCATACACAAAAATAAACTCAAAATGAATTAAGGACCTCAATGAAACCAGTAAAACCAATGAAACCATAAAAATCCTAGAAGAGAACACAGGCAGTACTTTCTCTGATATTAGCTGTAGCAACATTTTTCTAGATACGTCTCCTGAAGCAAGGGAAAACAAAAGCAAAAACAAACTATTGGGATTACATCAAAATAAAAAGCTTCTGCACAGCAAAGGAAACAATGAACAAAACTAAAGGACAGGGGCGCCTGGGTGGCTCAGTCGGTTAAGCGTCTGCCTTCGGCTCAGGTCATGATCCCAGAGTCCTGGGATCGAGCCCCGCATCGGGCTCCCTGCTCTGCGGGAAGCCTGCTTCTCCCTCCTCCCACTCCCCCTGCTTGTGTTCCCTCTCTCGCTGTCTCTGTCAAATAAATAAATAAAATTAAAAAAAAAAACTAAAGGACAAACTCCTGAATGGGAGAAGATATTTGCAAATGACAAATCCCATAAGGGGTTCGTATCCAAATACATAAAGAAGTGGGGCGCCTAAGTGGCGCAGTCAGTTAAGCGTCTGACTCTTGGTTTCAGCTCAGGTCGAAATCTCAGGGTTGTTGAGATTGAGCCCACATCAGCGTCCACGCTCAGCCTGGAGTCAGCTTAAGAGTCTCTCTCTCCTTCTCTCTCTGCCCCTTCCGCTCGTGCTCTCTAACTCTCAAAATAAATACATCTTTAAAAAAAGTAACTTATACAACTCAATACCAAGAAACCCAAATAATCCAATTAAAAAAATAGGCAGAAGACATAAACAGACATTTGTCCAAAGAAGACACAGAGATGGCCAACAGACACATGAAAAGATGCTCATCACCACTCACCATCAGGGAAATACAAATCAAAATTACAATGAGATGTCAATTCACACCTGTCAGAATGGCTAAAATCATAAACACAAGAAACAAAAAGTGTTGGTGAGGATGTGAAGAAAAAGGAACCCTTGTGCACGGTTGGTGGGAATGCAAACTGGTGCAGCCACTCTGGAAAACAGTATGGAGGTTTCCTCAAAAAATTAAAAACAATTACCACATGATCCAGTAATTCAACTACTGGGTATTCAACCAAAGAAAGAGAAAACATTAATTCAAAAACATCTATGCACACCTGTGTTCACTGCAACATTATTTACAAAAGCCACATTATGAAAGCAGCCCAAGTGTCCATCAACAGATGAACAGATAAAGAAGATGTTGTATATATGTATTTACACACACACACTGTAGTATTACTTAGCCATAAAAAAGAATGAAATCTTGGCATCTGCAACAACATGGATGCATCTACAAAATGCTAAGTGAAATTTAAGAAACAAAACAAATGAACAAAGAAAAGAGACAGACAAAAAATAGACTCTTAAGTATTGTTTGAGATGGGTGGATGGGTGAAATAGGTGAGGGGGATTAAGAGGACACTTATCGTGATGAGCACTGAGTCATGTATAGGATCATGGAATCACTATACTGTGTGCTGGGTAACTAATAAAACACTGTATGTTAATTATACTGCAATTAAAAAAAGTATGAGTCCTTTTGAAATTCTGCTACAGAGCCTTATATCCCCCCCATTTACAAATACCAGAATTTTTAAATAGACATACAGAAAAAGTCTCCTAGATTTCCCTTCTTACATGGTACGGAGTAAAAGAAACTGTCCCGCAAGGCCATC